TCCGCCTCCACCTCCACCGCCACCGCCACCCCCTCTCCCATATGAACCTCCACCTGAGGCACCTCCTGCACCATAACCTGAGCCACTACCACTCCCAGATCCATACCCACTACCATTCCCTGACCCCCCACCTCCACCTCCACCTCCACCTTCGCCACCCCCACCCCCACCAACACTTGCATAACCTCCACCTAAGGCAACTCCGCCTCCATAACCAGAGCCGCTTCCACTGCCAGAGCCGTATCCAGACCCAGTGCCTTCACCACCTCCACCTCCACCACCCCCACCCTCACCACCACCTCCACCTCCTCTCCCTCCCTCACCGTAGAACACGGTTCTAGCTGCAGAGGAACATCCAATGCAGATTAAAACTACAAACGCAAAAACTGTAACCCCCTTTGAAGTGACCATTCTCTCTCTGTTAGGTGATTTGTTTTATCAAATGATTCAAGGCGAGAGAACAATGCATGGAGCTGATATCACTGACATGGGGTACTTATAGTGTGGTAGCAACCACAGAGTTCGACGGTGAAGTGCATATCCCCGCTTCTTTCTTTGACTCTGAATTGCAAAAGGTGGGTCGGTATGAAGAAATGGAAATTTAACATCTCAATACAAGATTAACAGAAAGAACAAAGCCGCAAGACAATCACCAAATTGGTATCAGAAGACAAAGTTATAAATTAATTAGGTAAGTGCACTTGATTGTTCTTACATATAAGTCAACAACCCATTCTCCACCTATTATTTCTTATCAAATTCTTATTCCAACTCAGATCCTTTATCCACACAAGGCGTCTTTCTCAGGGAAGAATGCAATTTGCAGCACTTGGTTTCTTGTTTCTGTAATCTGCCTACCTTTTTTGTTAAGAACTTGATGCCCTCAAGAAAGAACTTTGTCCATTTGGAATGGCTTTTATGCTTTAAACCTAACTTTTCTTTTTTTGGATGAATATCAAATTCAAAAACACTTTGGCTCTTCTGTCCGATACATGACTCCAAACGACTCCAATAGTTTCATACTCATGCGAGTCAACTCGTTCTTCCACTACCTACCTCCCAGTCCACCATGAGGAAGTCTTCTTTCCCCGCAACCACGTGGTTGATTGTGCTTGGGCTAAACGGTTGGCTCTTTAGGATCCAAGCATCCAAATCTCAACGCGGGGAACTTGGATTCCCTACTAACTTTAATGCTATCCTCCCTACTAACCCAATTAAAATACACCACCTGCCACCATGCTGTAAGAGATTTAACTTTCCAATCAGTCAAAATAAATTCCTATTTTTAGTTATACAAAACATTCCTTTCTCCTTTCTCTCTTGCACGCTAAGGATAAGTTTCCAGAAATGCAAATTTCAAATCAAATTATATAGATTCACACCAAATACTGAACATTCTGGAGCTTCCAACTTTATATCGTACTATCAAATAATTGTTGGTTTTATTTATTTGGTGATTTTGTGACACTTCTTCTTTCCTAGCATTGTGGCTTGAGAAAATAAAATAGTCATTTGCAAATTAAGGAAAGATTGCATGGTTAAATAGGAATTTATTATTGGTTTTTCTAAAATACTATCAACGTATTAAAAAATACCCGAAAACGGAATTGTTTTGGACATCAGTTTTCGGGTTGACAGTTCGACCATCCGGTTTGAATGAATGACCTATTCTAACAAACAAATTAAAAATAAAAAAATAGTCAAAACTGTTGAATGGGTTAGTGGGTCAATGGTTCGACCGCCCGGGGTAATGGGTTGTTGAATTTTTCAACGGTTTTTGATCAAAACTGGGTTTGGGGTAAAACGGAACTGATTGGCTGGATGGTTCCCGGGCTGAACGGTCCGACTGTTCGGGTCAACGATGGTTCAAAAACCTTGCTTTCAATTGAACTGAAAGGCGTATATTAGCACAAGAAGCAACCTGTTCATCTTTCTTTGAATTAAGAACATTGAACATCGTCACTGTTATAGGTTTGAGGATCCTCAAACTCGAACCTCATAGGGCTTATTTTGAACATTGCACTTAGTATCGTCCACAAAACGAGTCATTCTGATTGTTTATCATGTTATGTTATCAAATTATTATCATGTTATGTTATCAAATTTATCAATTTTTGGGTTGAGAAATGGAAGTGGGGAGTAAATTCCTCAATTGGGCCAAATAGATTTATATATTGCAGAGAATTCAATTAGGGATTTTGTTTGGGTCATGATCGAGTTGGCTTTGTGTGCCACATGGCCACCCAATCACCTCAACCACATCAGCGCCGCGCCACCACTTCCGCGGTCTACCTCGACTCCGCGGCCACGAGAGCGCCATGCTACCTCCGTGGTCCCCAACTTATCTCCCCAGCTACGCCGACTCCGCATCATGCGGATAAGCATGACCAAGACAGGAGAGCAGATGGGGACCACGCCATTGGGGATCAGGTCTCATCCCGTAGACTTCGACGGTTAACCTCATCCCAACAACCCTAGAAGCCTATTTCGATCAGGGCACAAACTTTCACCTATAAAAAGGTGCTTCCCGCTCGAGGTAATGGATCCAACTTCTAGTTTCCATACCGTTATACTGCTTGGACCATCACTGTTCTCCAATTGCTCAGCCCGATCCTCTACTGTCCTTTACTAACTTGAGCGTCGGAGTATCTACCCAGGGATAGCTCCTTGGGCCTCTGACATTTTCTTGTTCGTAGATCTCATTTTGCGGCTTTGTCCTTCCACCTCGGCACTACCCAATTGGAAAGGATTATCTGACTATAATCTCGGTTTTTGCACTACCTAGGATCGAGCAACATCAAATTTGTAGTAGTTTCTTGTAAAACATTACCAGAAACTTGAGAAGAATATCGTATGCAATCAATTGGAGTTCGTATCTTCAATAGATAGTTTTTACCTTGAGAATCCAAAACTATAGAAAAACGTAAAAATTGATAACAGATCATGTTATGTTTAACGGCTAAAAGTTTCAAGATGCAGATGCTAGTTAGCTTGTTCTGAAATTTGTCATTTCTGGAAATTCCTACTTAGCGCACGAGAGAGAGAGGAAATGAGAGTACATATTTATGCATAAAAAATAGATATTTAATTTGTTTTTAAAAAATAGTATGTAAAGAGGTTAAGGTTTAGTCGGTTGTTGGAAGGCTAAATCTCTTGTAACTTGGGTAGGGGTAGGGACAGGTGGTGTATTTTAATTGGGTTAGCAGAGAGGAGAGTAGATTAAAGTTGGTAGGAAATTCGAACACCAACGTGGGGGTCCCTAGATGCAATTCGGATTTCCTGCTTACCTTTTCCTTCTCTCCTCTCTATTAACCCACTCAAATCAGGCCACCTGTTCCTATCCGTCCAACCTCCCAACAATTCTCCAACCAAGATTAACCCTCCGTTAACTTTCTTTATGGATTAATCTTTTGGGAAAATAGATGCCTACTTTTAGTTATTCACGCCACAAGAGAGGAGAGACAAGTTGATAAGCGAATGATTTCGATGGTATAAAGATACACCCGACACTGAAACACCACTGCCCATAGTGACGATTCCGCTGAATTCACGATCGACTGTACCTGAATCAACAGTTAGTAGCCATGGCGCATCATTGTGAACGGTAAATCTGAAAGGTCCATCATTTCTTGCCAATGCGGCAATGAAAATGCCCTTCTCCATGGCTAAAAAGGAAGCTATGGCAATGGGGTCTTCATACAGAGACAGCGAGTATCTAACCAAGGACAATGAGATGATATCGACACCGTCTACAATTGCTTGGTCTATGGCTGCAATAACATTAGATGCGAAGGTGCCTATAATACAAATTGTAATTGAAGAATTAGTTACATCTGCTGAGCTGAAGAGTTGATTGCAATAACTAACATCTCCCTATATGTATGGTTGTATGTCTAAAGATAAAACACACAAATATTTTCCGTTCTTATCTCTGTTATGGTATCAGAGCTCTGGATCCTTCAACCTTCGCACAACCTTCTCAGTCTGCAATCTTCGATCATTCCTGATCCCTATTCGTGGAGCATATCTCTGAGCATTTCACAGAGATTTCTTTACTTCCGTTTGTCAAAGCTCGTCCCCTGTTCTTCGTTGAAAGTTTATCAGTCTGCGATCTTCTTCGATCGTTTTTTTCTTCTTCGATCAAGAACGGGGCAAGCTCCAAGATTCTCATCCGCCGCATCAAGATCACCTCCAAGATTCTCCAAAGTTCTTCTGGCGACGGTGCAACCGACAAAGATGATGAATTCTTTGATTAACGATCTCTGTTAGCCAAGTCTTGATAGCTCTCTTGGTCTTCGTTCTGTTGTTCATTGTGTTTTCTCTCATTATTTGGGGTGCCAGTCGGCCTTACAGAGCAAAGATTGTTGTGAAGAGCAATGACTGCAAACAATTTCTATTCTGGTGAGGGATCAGACTCCACAGGTGTCCTAACTGGATCTAATTTTTCAGAGACAGAGCTTTGTAGGTAACCGAACTGGCTGACATCAGAGAAGTTGGCGAGGGATCTGATTCTTCGGAGCTGCATTTCAGGACCAGATTCCACTCTTCATCTCTGGTAATTTGAACAGAGCTTTGTAAGCACCCAAACTGGCTGACATCAGAACCGGTTATCAACTACCACTCTTCTTGTTGTTTGTGTTGTTTGCTCGAGCTTTTCTTGTTGTTAATATTATCTGTGGCAGGGGAACCCGGAATTTCCAGATTTGTTAGGTGGACTAGTTTTCTGCTAATCATGTCAAGTTTTACATCAGCAGTGGAACTCTCACCCTTGTTGGATCCTGCTTCACCATATTACATTCATCATTCTGATCATCATGGATTGGTCACTGTTTCGCTGGAACTCACAAGTTCTAATTACGCTTCATGGAGCAGATCTTTCCTTCTAGCCTTGTCAATCAGAAACAAAACCGGTTTCGTGGATGGAACCATTAAAGAACCTGCTCTGGATGGTGCTCTTCATAGTGCTTGGAAGAGATGCAACAACTTAATTGTTGCATGGCTTTTGCGGTCAATTTCCCCTCCAATAGCATCCATTGTGTTCTATATCAATTCGGCATCACGGATATGGGAGGTCTTGAAGAAGAGATTCCCACAACCAGATGATTCAAAAATTTGTAATTTGCAGTTGTCTCTCAGTACAATTACTTAGGGAACAAGAACTGTTGATGCCTACTTCACTGAATTGACAGGAATATGGGAAGAATTAAGGAGTTATCGACCTCTGCCTCACTGCCAGTGTGGAAAATGTAACAAGGACTGTTTCGAGATTTTTTCTGAAGCGCAACAAAAGGAGTATGTGTTCAAATTCATCAATGGTTTAAATGAATCATTTTCTGCCTTGAGATCACAAGTTATGATCATGAAGCCCTTCCCCAATCTTGATGAGGTATATAATCTTGTCTTAAGGGAAG